AGAAAGTCACATAGACAAGAGAGTGTATGAGAGCATATGAGAGGGGATGAGAGGGGATGAGAGGGGATGAGAGGGTACGAGAGGGGATGAGAGGGGATGAGAGGTGTGATGAGAGGGGATGAGAAGGGATGAGAGTGTACAAGAGTGTATGAGAGTGTATGAGAGTGTATGAGAGGGAATGAGAGTGTATGTGATGGAATGAGAGTGTATGAGAGGGGATGAGAGCGTATGAGAGTGTATGAGAAGGGATGAGAGTGTATGAGTATGTACGGGAGAGCATGAGGGGATGAGAGTGTATATGATAGTGGATGGGGAGGGACGAGAGTGTACAAGAGTGTATGAGAGTGTATGAGAGGGGATGAGTGTGTTTGAGAGGGGTTGAGAGTGTATTAGAGGGGCTGAGAGGGAAAAAGAGGGGATGAGTGTGAATGAGAGTGTATGGAAGTGTATGATAGTGGATGTGAGCGGATTAGGGGGTATGAGTGTGTATGAGAGGGGATGAGAGTGTTTAAGTTAGTGGATGAGAGTGGATGAGAGTGAATAAGAGTGTATGAGAGTGTATGAGAGAGGATGAGAGGGTTTGAGAGTGTATGAGAGTGGATGAGGAGGGATGAGAGTGTGTAAGAGAGGGTATGAGAGAGTGTGGGAGTATAAGAGCGCGTGATGAGAGGGGATGAGAGGGGATGAGGGGGCTGGGAGGGGATGAGAGGGGATGAGGAGGGATGGGAGTGTATGAGAGTGAAAGGGAGTGTATAAGCGCATATGAGTGTGTATGGGTGTGTATAAGAGGGGATGAGAGTGTACATGATAGTGTGTGAGTGGGTACGAGAGGGTATGAGAGTGCCTGAGAGTGTATGAGAGGGTATGAGAGGGAATGAGATGGGATGAGAGGGGATGAGAGCGTATGAGAGTGAATGAGAGAGTGTATGATAAGGGATGATGAGAGTGTATGAGAGTTTAGGAGAGTGGATGAGATTGAATGAGAGTTGTTGAGAGGGTATGAGAGTGTACGGGAGAGTATGAGGGGATGAGAGTGTATATGATAGTGGATGGGAGGGTATGAGAGTGTACAAGAGTGTATGAGAGTGTATGAGAGGGGATGAGTGTGTATGAAAGGAGATGAGACTGTATGAGAGGGGATGTGAGGGGATAAGAGGGGATGAGTGTGAATGAGAGTGTATGGAAGTGTATGAGAGTGGATGTGAGCGGATTAGGGGGTATGAGTGTGTATGAGAGGGGATGAGAGTGTTTAAGTTAGTGGATGAGAGTGGATGAGAGTGAATAAGAGTGTATGACTTTGTATGGGAGAGGATGAGAGGGGTTGAGAGTGTATGAGAGTGGATGAGGAGGGATGAGAGTGTGTAAGAGAGGGTATGAGAGATTGTGAGAGTGTAAGAGTGCGTATGAGAGGGGATGAGAGGGGATGAGGAGGCTGAGAGGGGATGAGAGGGGATGAGAAGGGATGGGAGTGTATGAGAGTGAAAGGGAGTGTATGAGCGCATATGAGTGTGTATGGGTGTGTATTAGAGGGCATGATAGTGTATAATCTAGTGGACGAGAGGGAGTGAGAGTGTATGTGAGTGTACGAGAGAGGTTGAGAGGGGTTGAGAGTGTATGAGAGTGGATGGGGTATGAGAGTGTGTAAGAGAGTGTACGAGACTGTGTGAGAGTGTATGAGATGGGATGAGAGGGGATGAGAGGGGACGAGTGGGGATGCGAGGGGATGACCAGGGATGAGAGTGCGAGTGCACGGAGTGAAAGGGAGTGTATGAGAGTGTATCAGTGTGTATGGGAGTGTATAAGAGGGGTTGAGAGTGTATATGAGTGTATATGAGTGGGTACGAGAGAGTATGAGAGTGTATGAGAGGGAATGTGATGGGATCAGAGGGGAGGAGAGTGTATGAGAGTGAATGAGAGTGCGTGATAAGGGATAATGAGAGTGTATGAGAGTTTAGGAGAGTGGATGAGAGTGGTTGAGAGTGTACGAGAGTGTATCTGAGGGGATGAGAGTGTATGAGAGTGTATGATAAGGGATGATGAGAGTGTATGAGAGTGAATGAGACGGGATGAGAAGGGATGAGAGGGAAAAGAGGGGATGAGAGGGAATGAGAGGGAATGAGAGTGAATGAGAGGGGAGAGAGGGAACGGGAGGTGTGTGTGTGTGAGGGATGAGAGGGATGAGAGTGTGTGAGATAGGAGGAGAGGAGATGAAAGGAAATGAGACTGTACGAGACTGAATGTGTGTGTATGAGGGGATGGAAGTGTCTGAGAGTGTAGGAGATTGAATGAGAGTGGTTGAGAGTGTATGAGAGGGGATGAGAGTGAATGAGAGTATATGAGAGGGGATGAGAATGTATGAGTGTGTACGGGAGAGACTGAGGGATGGGATGAGAGTTTATATGATAATGGATGGGAGGGTATGAGAGTGTACAAGAGTGTATGAGAGTGTATGAGAGGGGATGAGTGTGCATGAGAGGGAATGAGAGTGTATGAGAGGGGATGTGAGGGGATAAGAGGGGATGAGTGTGAATGAGAGTGTATGGAAGTGTATGATTGTGGATGAGAGCGGATTAGGGGGTATGAGTGTATATGAGAGGGGATGAGAGTGTATAAGATAGTGGATGCGAGGGGATGAGAGTGAATAAGTGTATGGGAGTGTATAAGGGTGGACGAGAGTGTATACGAGTGTATATGCCCGGGTACGAGAGGGTATGAGAGTGTATGAGAGGGAGTGAGAGAGGGATGAGAGGGGATGAGAGCGTATGATAGTGAATGAGCGTGTATGATAAGGGATAATGAGCTGTATGAGAGTTTAGGAGAGTGGATGAGAGTGGTTGAGAGTGTATGAGAGTGTATGAGAGTGTATGTGAGGGGATGAGAGTGTATGAGAGTGTATGAGAGTGAATGAGAGTGAATGAGAGGGGATGAGAAGGGATGAGAGGAAAAGAGAGGGAATGAGAGGGAATGAGAGTGAATGAGAGGGGATGAGAGGGAACGGGAGTGTGTGTGAGGGGATGAGAGGGGATGAGAGTATATGAGAGGGGACGAGGAGTGTATGATAGGATGGGAGTGTATGAGAGTGTATGAGGGGGAATGAAGAGGGGATGAAAGGGATGAAAGGGGATGAGAGGGGATGTGAGGGAATGAGAGTGGATGAATGGGAATGAGAGGTGATATGAGTGAATGAGAGTGAATGAGAGGGGATCTCAAGGGAATAAGAGTGTGTGAGGGGATGAAAGGGGAGAGAGGTGTATGAGCGTGTATGAGACGGATGAGAGGGGATGAAAGGGGATGAAAGCGAACGAGAGGGGATGACATTGTATGAGAGAGGATGAGTGTGTATGAGAGGGGGTGAGCGAGAGGGATGGAGAGGGGATGAGTGTGTATGAGAGGGGGTGTGCGAGAGGAATGGAGAGGAGACTCAACGTAACTAGAGGGGACTAGAGAGCAGCCAGGCACGAGACAACATAAAAGAAAAGCCTGGCACGAGAGAGGAGTTGACGTAAGCGAGGCTTTGGCCGGGGATGACACGGGGTGCGAGGGAGTGGGGAAAGATGGGTAGGAGAAAAGAGAGCACGGAAGGGGAGGCTAGACGAGAGTGCATGGCCTCGGCGGTGGCCAGAGAGGCGCGACGCGCTGAGCGGCGGCTTTGCGCATCACGGTGGCGGATCGTCGTGATGCGCCCAGCAGGGTGGCCGCATTGCGCATCGCGACGGCGGCGGTACGGTCGGCGCGATGCGCGGAGCGGCCAAAAGCTGGCCGCATTGCGCATCGCGACGGCGGCGGCCCGGTCGGCGCGATGCGCGGAGCGGCCAAAAGCTGGCCGCAATGCGCATCGCGGCGGCGGCTGCTCCTGATCGTCTCGATGCGTCGAGCGGCGATCGGGCCCGATAGGCGCGATGCGCAGAGCGGCGCGCCGGCCGCTGGGCGCTTCGCGACAGCGGTCTGATCGAGTTTTTTTTTTTTTATATTTTTCTTAATGTATATCATTACTTTTCTTCGAGTAACATGGGACTAAACGTGTACGGATGGGAAAAGGCTTTTGGGCTAAGGCACGCACCGTTGATAGACGTCAGGTGCTGCTAACGAATGCCTTGGATGCGTGACGGGGATGGCAGCTGGCGAAAGCTATAGCTAATAGTAATAGCGTGAGTAATAGCTGATGGCGGGAGGTGAGTTAGAGAGGTCCGCTGGGGTCAAGCCTCTGTACTTGGTTGGAACCGTATCAGGCAGGGGGGTGTACAGCACGTCGGGTCGTGGTGTGGTTACGGTGGGCTGGAGGCTCGACGGTACAGGCGTGCATCAAACCTCTCCGCACGAGTTGGCGCGAGCGGGAAATCGTCCGGGTTTCAGGAATTTCAGGCGGGAGTTTCATGTGTTACCATTCGCGTGATTCTTTAGCTGTTGCTAGTGACTGATTCCGTGACCCCACTTACCAAGCCCGTCACGATACCCGATACAGTTACCGTACGCATTTTTTTTTACCATTGACGTTACGGGGTCACATGATTGTTACTTGTGGCATATTTTCCCTATCAAACCACCTTCCGAAGTGTATAAACATTATGCCAAACCAGAAGCTTTCAAATCTCCCACGACACCCTAGTTTCCTCCACACGGCAATCGACTGATCCCCGCTGCGCCTCCACACGACTCGACTCAACTCCGCTCAACTCGCGCTCCCCAAGCTTGAGGCCACCGTGCTCGTTCCGTGCGACTAGCAGCCGCGCCGGCAGCGCTACTTCTGCTCACCCGCCTCGGCGCCATCGGCGCGCTTCACCTGCCTGCTCGCCGCCGCGCACTCCCCGCGCTGCCCCATGGGCAAGCTCAAGCGCCCGGGGCGGGGAGGCGGGGGCGGGGGCGGGCGAGGGCGCGGGTACGGGCGCGACAGGGACGCGATGCCGCCGCCGCCCCCGGGTGTGCTTAGCAAGCCCGCGCCGCCGATGCTCCGCGAGAGCAAGAGCACCATCCGCCCCGCCTCGCGGCGCGCGTCCCCCGCGATGGAGGGCAGCGCAGCCGCGGCAGGGGGCGCGCGGGAGGAGGAATTTGCGCTTCTGCACGGCGAGAGCGGCGCGGAGGCGTTCGGGATGTGGATCAAACTGACGGACAAACTGACGGAGCTGCTGACGGCCGGGGACGACGGCGTGCAGGCGATGATGAAGTTCGGCCGCAACGGCAGCGGACACGTGCGTGAGGGTGGGGCGCGCCGTGCGGAGGGAGTGCGAGTCGAAGGGAGGAAGGCGAGGACGGGCGGGTGACGGGGAGGGCAGGGAGAGCACCGGAGAGGGGGGCAGGAAGCGGGTTGAGAGGGGGTTGAGTGTGAGGCCCCTTTAAGCCCTTAAAGTGTCTTCCACTCTCCCATGGCGTCACCACCCTCTGTGCGCCACTGCTCCCCGCCCATCCCTCCCTCCCCCTTCCCCCCCAGCAGGCCATCAGGGTGGGCGACGTGGAGTTCAAGTTCACATCCCACAGCGAGCCCGACCCCGCGCTGTGCGACGTCTACCGCCTGCTGCCGCCCGGCGAGGGGGCGGGCGGGGGTGCGGAGGGCGGGGAGCGGCGCGCGCTGGAGCACGTGGCGCAGGTGGCGCGCAAGCTGAGCGTGCAGCGACCACTGGACGAGCGCGAGAAGGAGAAGTGGCGCGACCTCACCAAGAGCACGCCTAAAGTCGCCAGTAACAAGTGCGGAAGGGGGGGGGGGGAGTGGGGGTTGAGGGGAAGGGAGGGGGGGGGAGGGGAGGGGAGGGGAGGGGAGGGGAGGGGAGTGGAGCGAAGGGGAGAAGAGGTGGCAGTAAGGCGTTTAATGCACTGTGCAATGGCGTGACGTGGGGTGGTTGATTCTTGTGAAGCCGGTACAGCCCTCATGCGCTTCCCCTTTCCCTTGCTCCCGGGCTTGCATGCGTGATGCGGGAAAGCGCATGCTGCATGGCGTGTGTGCTTGCTGCATGGCGTGTGTGCTTGCTGCATGGCGTGTGTGCTTGCTGCATGGCGTGTGTGCTTGCTGCATGGCGTGTGTGCTTGCTGCATGGCGTGTGTGCTTGCTGCATGGCGTGTGTGCTTGCTGCATGGCGTGTGTGCTTGCTGCATGGCATGTGTGCTTGAGGTGTTGCACGGCATGTGAAAACTGCATGGCGTGTGCATGGTGTGTGCGTGGCGTGTGCACGGCGTGTGCGTGGCTTGGGCCACGGCAGGTTGAAGGTGGTGGATCTGAAGGGCAACAAGGCAGCCGCCCCCACCGCCGACGGTATGATGCTTCTGCCGCCCAATCCTCGTCTCGTCGTGCCATCCATCTGTGTGCGCCAACATCACTTTTGGGCCTGCATTCTTCCAGAGTCTCTACCTCTACGTCTCTCATTATGCTCTAAACTGTGTGCCCCTTTCTGCGTGTGCCACCCTGCCCGTCTCTGCAGTGCACAGGGGTGCTGGGAGGGGTGCTGCGAGCTTGCACGTGCAGAAGAAGCCAGGTGCGTGCAGGCAGGGGCAACGGGGTGAATGCACGTGCACACTGAATGTTGCACGCACGCACGGGGTAGTCCTGGTGTTTTCAGCACGCTGCACCTCTAATTCCCCTATGTGCCCGTTTAACCTTCTCTTTCCTCTCCCTCCAACGCCCTCGCGTGCGCCCATCACCACCTGTGCGGGGCAGGGCTGTTCAAGCGATCGCCAGCGGCGCCCATCCCCCCTCTGGCCAAGCAGCAGCTTCACCAGCAGCGCCTGTCGCCCTTCAATCGCGCCACCCCCGCCTCCATGTCCCCCGACGTGGCAGGGGGGAGGGCGCTGGAGCCCAGGTCCGCCCACGCCACACCCCCCCGCCCTGGCCCCACCGCACCCGACGCACACGTCCGTGCCGCAGCGGCGCTGCTGGGGGGCACGCCTCAAGCGCCTCAAGTGCAGCAGGTGCCGGTGGGCGAGCTGCGCGCGTTCCTGGTGGACATCCTAGGCCGCAACCCCAAGGGCGTCAGCAAAACTGTGAGCGTAGCGCTGCATGGTGGGCAGAGGGGGAAGTGGAGAAGATTAGGGAGAGGGGCAGTGGAGGCAGTGCAAAGGGACCAGGACAGTGGAAGGGGAAGATACAATAAACGGGAGAGGGGCAAAAAATGGAAGAGTTAGGAGGAGGTCGAAGGAGGGAGGGTGTGAGTGGGTTGGGAGGGTAAGGGGATGGAGGGCGAGGGGGAGGTGGAGGGAGGGTGGGTGTGAGTGGGAGGGGAGGGTAATGGGATGGAAGACATTGCGAGTTTGAGTTAAGGAGGGCGGGGTTATGGAATGGGTGAAATGGCCTTTTCAATCAAAGCAGGTAGGGGTGTGTGTGTGTGTGTGTGTGTGTGTGTGTGTGTGTGTGTGTGTGTGTGTGTGCATGTGTGTGTGTGTGCATGTGTGTGTGTGTGTGTGTGTGTGCGTGTGCGTGCGTGTGTGTGTGTGTGTGTGTGTGTGTATGTGTGTGTGTGTGTGTGTGTGTGTGTGTGTGTGAGTGTGTGTGCATGCACCAGGCGATGGAGAGGGCAACGGGGCATGAGTGGGCTCAGCTAGACAGGGTCGTCAGGCAGGTCAGTCCCTCCCCCACCACACGCACTGCAGGTCAGTCCCCCGCCCACACGCGGTGCGGGGTTCTGTAGGTCTTGCACCTGCCCCTATAGCGTTTTGCCTCTGCAGGTGAGTTTTTGAATTTCATTGCCGTTACCCCCTGCTCCCTCCTCTCTGTTAGATTCTCATGTGGTTGCTCGCCGCAGTGGTGTGAGGTGGGCAGTTACCCCATCGTTGCTGTGCAGTGCATGCGTGTTGGCCTGTCTCTCCACCATGAGTCGAGGAGCTTTTTGAGCACAGCCAATCTAGTCGCCCAGTCCACCACAAACGTGGTTCTTCAAATCACAAACTGCAACCAACCGATTTTTTTTTTTTTTTTTTTTTTTTTTTCCTGACCATCTTTGCTCCCAACAGCCTCCTTTTCCTTCCAGCCTTCTTGTGCACTTGTTGATTGTTACATCATCTTTCAACATAGCGTTTCCACCTCTTGCACCCCCTGTGTCTCCCCCTTCCGTCCCGTGTGTTGTGCCGGGAGTGTGCAGATAGCGAGGCTGCATGCGCCGGGGTACTACCGCCTGTTGCCAGGCGTCAAGGAGGGCGCCCACGCCGCACACCCTGCAGCACCAGCAGGGCAGTCCCCCATACAACGTCGCTCCACGTCGCCTCTGCCCTCTCACTCCCCTCTACCCTCACACTCCCCTCTGCCATCCCATTCCTCTCTAAGGACGCCTCCTCTCTCCCCTCTACCTGCCGCCTCCCCCCGCCCATCCACGTCCCCCCTCCCATCGGCATCCCCCCGCCCTGCGTCCACGCCTCCACCGCACTCGCCGTGAGAACCACCCCCCTGCTCCTCGCCCCTTTCCCTCTTGCCCCTGGCCCTCCATCGCTGCCCCGTCGTTTCTATGTGCCTTTGCTTCCACGCTCACCGCCCTGCTGCTCCTCACTCTCACCATCCCTTGCCATCGTGCCTTCCCTGCCCCGTCCCCCTTTCTCCTCCCCCTACCCTTTCCCTCCTCTTTCCTCCCTCCCTTCCCGTTCTCACTCTCCCCATACCTCCCATCCCCTCACCCCTTTCCCCTTCCCCCCTGGCCATTCCCCCGCAGAGGCGGAGAGGCGGCAGAGGGTGGGGCGGGCAGGGAGGGAGCGCGGGCGGGCAGGGTGCCGCTGCTGAACCTCAATGAGACGGGCTTTGATGACGACGAAGGGGGGGGAGACGCGCATGGGCATGGGGACGGGGATGGGGATGGGGGGAAGGAGCAGGAGGAGGAGCAGGACGAGGAGGAAGAGGAGGACGAGGAAGAGGAGGAGGAGGAGGAGTTGGTGGTGGAAGAGGCAGAGGTGGGGGGGGGGGAAGGGGAAGGGGAAGAGGAGGGCAGAGTAGTGGAGGGGGGGGTGAGCACAGCAGGGGGAGAGGTGGGAGAGAGGGGCTTAGAGGAGGGCGCTGGGGGTGAGGGGTCGGATCACTCAAGAGGCGAAGGGTCAGGCGGGGAGGGGGGTGAGGAGAAGAAGGGGGAAGCGGGCGAGGAGGGAGGGGGGGAGGAAGTGCGGTTGGAAGACTTGTTTGGGGATGAGTCGCCCTCCCATGGGGAAGGGGAAGATGCGGGGGAGGGAGAAGGGGCCATTAAGGAGAGTGGAGAGATGGAGGGCGAGGGACAGGTGAAGGGAGAGAGTAGTGAAGGTGGGAGTGAGAGAGTGAGAGTGAGAGTGAGAGTGAGTGGCAGTGGCAGTGGAGTGGAGTGGGAGTGAGAGTGGAGAGAGTGAGTGAGAGTGAGGGCGAGGGGGATGCGGGCAGCAGCAGCAGCGGCAGCAGCGGCAGTGCGAGTGAGATTGACATCGACATCGACGATGGGGAGGGGGCGGACAGCGGCAGGGGGGGAGGCGAGGCGGAGAAGAGGGCAGAAGGCAAGGGGGCGAGGGCGCGGCATGAGGGGCGCGCACATGGGCATGGGCATGGGCATGGGCGGGCGGAGAGGGAGGCAAGGGCAGCACGGGAGGGGCAGGCAGACGCGAGCACTGGAGGGGAGGAGGCAGGTGGCCAAGGGGGGAGCGGGGGTGTTGGGGAAGTGGGGACCTGGGCGGAAGGGGGGGAGGGGGGACTTGGCGGAAAAGAGGAAGATGGAGGGAAAGAGGCTGATGGAACAAAGGGAGTGGATGGAGGGAAAGAGTTGCAGGAGGGGCAGGCGGAGGAGGAGGGCGAGATGGTAGGAGAGGACACGGGGATGGAGAATGAGGGGGACGAGAGGGGTGGCGAGGGGGAGGAGAAAGAGAGTGGGATGGGCGATGGGAGAGCGGACAAGACTGATCCTGAAAAGCAAGGAGAGGCAGGGGAGGATGGGGAGGAGGGGGAGGAGGGTGAGTTGAAAGTGGATGGCAGCGGGGAGAAGGGAGATAGCTGTGATGTGGATGGTGAGAGGGATGAGCCTGGAAAGGAAGGGAAGGGGGAGGACGGGGCACTTGGAGTGCAAAGGGAGGAAGGGATTGAAGGGGAGGCAGAGCATGCAGAGGAGGCATGGGCTGGAAAGGAAGCAACGGCTAAGGGGACAGAGAGTGAGGAACAAGACGACGGGGCACTGAGGGAAGCAGAGGAGAAGGAGAGAGTGAGAAAGGTAGAGGAGGAGAGATTGAGAAAAGAAGAAGAAGAGGAGAGAGTGAGAAAGGTGGAAGAGGAGGAGAGAGCAAGAAAGGCAGAAGAGGAGAGAGCGAGAAAGGCAGCAGAAGAGAGAGTGAGGAAGGCAGAAGAGGAGGAGAGAGCGAGAAAGGCGGAAGAGGAGAGAGTGTTAAAGGCAGAAGAGGAGGAGAGAGTGAGAAAAGAGAAGCTTGAGGAGGAGAGGAAGAGAGTGAGAGAGGATAATGTTCGGCGGATGAGGGAGAGGGAGGAGGCGGAGCGCGCGGCCAGGGAGGAGAGAATGAGAGAGGAGGAGGTGCGGAGGGCGAAGGAGGAGACAGAGCGGAGGGCAGAACAAGAAAGGGAGGCGAAAGAAGGGGAGAAGGAAAAGCAAGAGAAAGAGAAAGCTGTGATGGCGAGGGAGGAAAGGGAGAGGGAGAGGAGAGAGAAAGAGAAAGATGATAAGGAAAAGGCAGAGAGGCTTGGAAGGGAGAGGAGGGAAACAGAAGAGAGGGAAAGAAGGGAGGAGGAGAAAAGGGCGAAACAGGAAAAGGAAAGGGAAGAGAGGGAAAGGGAGAGGCGAGAGGTAGAGAGGGAGCAGAGAGAGTTGCAGGACAGGCAAGACGAGGAGCGTCTGGCACAGCAAAGGATGCGTGTGAAGGGTGGGGAGGATGAGGACGCGAGGGAGAAGGAGAAGGTGGGCAGTGCGAGGGAGGAGATGGCATGGCAGGGTGGGGATGGGGATGGGTTGGAGGAGGGTGCAGGGCGAGGGGTCGACGAGGGGCCCCGCGGGCTGAAAAAGGGCTCTGTGCTGCTGGGGCGAGAGGGTGACGGCGACAGGGGTGACGGGGTAGTAGTGGGGACCGAAGCGATGGAGGAGAGAGAGGTGGGGAAGGTGGAGAAGAGGAAGAAGGAGAAGAAAGGTAAAGCAGGCAGGGTGGGCGAGAAGAGGGAGAAGAGAAGGAGGCAGGAGGGCGGGCAGGATGGGGCAGGAGAAGGCGGGATAGCAGACATGGGCGGTGGGATGAAGCGGCGTGTGGGCGGCGATGCTGACAAGCCCCATGCTCACTTTGACTCCCCGCCTGCCCCAGATGCTGCCGCGGCTGCTGGGGGGGGATGGGCGGAGGGGGAGGAGAGTGGGAGGCAGGCGAGGCAGAAGCGGAGGCGGTATGAGGAGGAAGCGGAGGAGGGGGGTGGGGCCGAGGGAGAGAATGGCAGCGATGAGGGGTGGGAGGGGCATGAAACATCCTTGTATGAGGCGTATGAGAAGGACAAGCCTGAACTCAAGGGGCCAATCACATCTCGCGAGCAGTAAGGGTCCCGGCCTGCTCACACCACTGTGTACCATAGCAGCACGCACCACTGCATGCCATAGCAGCGCACACCACCACTGCGTGCCATGCCGCCCAGGACGCTGCATTCTGATGGAGCACATGTTTCATGGTGGGGGGGGGGGGGTGGCAGGTACGCACTGTACCACGCGGAGTTCACAGACAAGTACGCCGTCTACCTGCGCCTGCACTGCATCCTCGACGCCCAGCGGTGAGGCACTGCATTCAGGGAGAGGAGGGGAGGGCTCACACGTGGGCCATGTGATGCGCTGAGGCATGTGATGTGCTGAGGCATGTGATGCACTGAGGCATGTGATGCACTGAGGCATGTGATGCACTGAGGCATGTGATGCGCTGAGGCATGTGATGCTCTCTGAGGCATGTGTACATGCTGCTGTGATGCTCTCTGAGGCATGTGATGCTCTCTGAGGCATGTGTACATGCTGCTGTGATGCTCTCTGAGGCATGTGTACATGCTGCTGTGATGCTCTCTGAGGCATGTGTACTTGCTGCTGTGATGCTCTCTGAGGCATGTGTACTTGCTGCTGTGATGCTCTCTGAGGCATGTGTACATGCTGCTGTGATGCTCTCTGAGGCATGTGTACATGCTGCTGTGATGCTCTCTGAGGCATGTGTACATGCTGCTGTGATGCTCTCTGAGGCATGTGTACTTGCTGCTGTGATGCTCTCTGAGGCATGTGTACATGCTGCTGTGATGCTCTCTGAGGCATGTGATGCTCTCTGAGGCATGTGTACATGCTGCTGTGATGCTCTCTGAGGCATGTGATGCTCTCTGAGGCATGTGTACATGCTGCTGTGATGCTCTCTGAGGCATGTGATGCTCTCTGAGGCATGTGTACATGCTGCTGTGATGCTCTCTGAGGCATGTGATGCTCTCTGAGGCATGTGTACATGCTGCTGTGATGCTCTCTGAGGCATGTGTACTTGCTGCTGTGATGCTCTCTGAGGCATGTGTACTTGCTGCTGTGATGCTCTCTGAGGCATGTGTACTTGCTGCTGTGATGCTCTCTGAGGCATGTGTACTTGCTGCTGTGATGCTCTCTGAGGCATGTGTACTTGCTGCTGTGATGCTCTCTGAGGCATGTGTACTTGCTGCTGTGATGCTCTCTGAGGCATGTGTACTTGCTGCTGCCCTGCCTTGCCTCTCTGCGCTGCCATGCATGCGTGGCAGGGAAGAAGCAGAGCGGATATTTACTGAAATGGACGAGTGTGAGGATGAGGAGGAGAAGGAGCGGTATAAGCGGCGGATATATGCCATGTTCCACAGCAGACACAAGGTACCCATGCACCATGTTCCACAGCAGACACAAGGCAACCATGCACCACCTCCTTTTGTTATTTCCCGTCTGGGCTCTCTCTCCTCTCTCACTCGTTGCTGCCTTGCACTCCCCTCCCCTCAGCGCCTGCATCAAATGAAGGCGGTCTTTGCCCTCGTGCAGCAAGAGCTAGCGGTGAGCCTCCTTGCCTATCTGCACACTCGCCTACATGCACACTTTCTCAGTTTCTCAGCTGTAATCATCCCTGCATTCCTCCTGTTCACCACTTGTCCGCTCTCTCTGTGACATCCCGGTCTCATGTATGTCAATCTCCTGAATTTCTTGGCTTCCCTGCATCCGCCACATCACAGTCGTCTGCTACTACAACTCACTTGTTCAGTGCACATACACATGGATAAATCGCCTATCAACTTGTGTACCAGGTGTACCTTGTTCAGTGCACAGACACATGCATAAATCTTCTATCAACTTGTGTAGCATCCGAGGATGTCTTGCCCTCAAATGCGCCGCCTTCTTTCCCTCCTCACCCTGCACTCACCACACATCATTGATGATTTGAAGTCGATCAAGGCGCGGGTGAATGAATACCTTCAGCAAAGCTGAGGCACAACACAGATACGCCCGTAGTCATGGACGGGGGCCCGATGCATTGGGGTAGAGCAATGGAATCTCTGCACTGACGGTGGTCGTATGTGCCTAAGTTTTGTATGAAATTCTTGTAATCTGCGGATTCACTTAGCCAAGTACGGTACTGGATTACACATCCCGCAGTCACATGGATATTCATTTGTACGGGCGTTAATGGACTAGACTAGAATTTGCCTAGGGGCGATTCCTACGGCCTCTTATTGCATAACTCCAGAAGAAGAAACCCATATTTCAGACTTGTATTGCACGAAAACAAAAATGCGCACGCAAAACCTTCCAAGCATGCCACATTAGCAGACCACATTTAGCATGTGCGTTGCTACTATATGTCAAGTTTTGAGAATGTGGCTCCAGTTTTTCAAGCTGGCAAAAACTTCCTGTTCCTAGCGAAAATCTTCGCAACCCTCGCGCGCCCTTGCTGGCTTGGCAATAGGCCCAGACAAGCGCAGCCACGTGACCCGGTAGAAGAAAAACGCTCGGATTCGGAGCGAGCGCTTCCAGCCCCAAAATACGGAAGGATCCGCACATGTGCAGGAAGTGCAGCGGGCACTCTTCATTCGCGAGTGCCGTTGACAGATGATACTCCTTAAGGGATTCGTGCGCATTCTATGCATTTGTCGCCCAAAACGGCCGAAATCGTGGGCGCCGAACTTTTCTTCACGCACGAACCAAGCCGAAAATGCTCCAATAGGTGTATTTGAACATGTGCCACTCGAATATGCCAAAATGTTGAGGTTGTTCAACACTTTCCGTACGCCTTAGGGGATTCGTGCGCATTCTAGGCATTTGTCGCCCAAAACGGCCGAAATCGTGGGCGCCGAACTTTTCTTCGCGCACGAACCAAGCCGAAAATGCTCCAATAGGTGTATTTGAACATGTGCCACTCGAATATGCCATAAAGTTCAGGTTGTTCAACGCCTTTCCCTACGCCTTTGGGGATTCGTGCGCATTCTATGCATTTGTCGCCCAAAACGGCCGAAATCGTGGGCGCCGAACTTTTCTTCGCGCACGAACCAAGCCGAAAATGCTCCAATATGTCAGAATCACTAGGCAAGAATGATGAACTAGCAGAAGTTTGGGTACAAATATGAAACCCTAGTTGGGGTTGTACCCCATATTGGCTACCCCACTACAGCCTACAAGCATACTACAGTTTAACACACCCCCATAGGCAAAGTGGGGGAGAACAAAGGGTCACAAGACCAGTCCAGCAAAGCAAAGCAACGCCCAGGGTGGATCACAACGTCACCACACTCTGAGCACAAGCAAAGGCCACAAGGCCAGTTCACATGCAGTGCTAGATATAGTACAAGACAAGCAACACAGTGATCAAAACCTAGCAAGCAAGCAACAAGATATATATAAAGTACAGTACAAAGAATGTCAAGCAGTGAGCAAGTGAGGAAACGTGGACACAAGGCCTAAAGAAGTACAGTGCCGCTGATGATCACTAGGCGGGAGCGCCTTGGTGAAGATATCAGCAGTGTTGGCCTTCGAGTCCACGTACACAAGCCGAAGCTGACCGCGCTGCTGAAGCTCTCGAGCAAGAAAGTAGCGAAGAGCAATGTGCTTCGTCCTGTGCTCCAGTCTGTGCTCCTGACACAAGGCAAGAGCCGCCTTGTTGTCACCGTACAGAACTGGAGGAGAACTAGGCCGCTCTCCCAAGTCAGTCAGCAGGTAGGTGAGCCAGCGTAACTCCTGTGCAGCCATGGCTGTGGCGTAGATCTCAGCCTCACAACTAGAGCCGAGAACAGAGGAAGAGCGGGTGGACCGCCACGAGACAGAACCTGAGCCAAGGCTGAAGGTGTAACCCTGTGACGACCGCTGCGTAGCCAGGTCGTCCACCCAAGAGGCGTCCGAGTGACCAGTGAGGACAACTCTGTCGCGTCCTCCAAGCACCAGCCCCATGCCTGATGTACTGCACAGGTAACGCAGCACCCTCTTAGCAGCCTCCCAGTGCTCTCGCCTGTGTCTCCCAGGCGCAACGTAACGAGCAAGGATGCTAAGAGGGTACGCGAGGTCAGGTCGCGTGCAAGTCATCAGGTACATGAGGCAGCCTACAAGCTCTGGGTACGGGCCACTCGGCTCTACGGACTCGTCCGAAGGTGGAGCTGAGAGCGAGTGGCTGGTAGCCAGAGGTGTGGCCTGTGGTGAGGAGAACTGGAAGCCGAAGCGCTGAAGGACCTGCTGCACCATGTGTGACTGAGTCAGGGTGATGGTGCGACGGGCTCTGTCCCGGGTGATCTGCAAGCCAAGGTAGCTACGCAGTTCACCCAGGTCAGTGCAGGTGTGTCTCTTCTGCAGCTCCGACTTCACACGAGCGAGTGCCTCAGTGTCAGCAGTAGCAAAGACCAAGTCGTCGACGTACACGAGGATGTAGAACGGCGGCAGCGACGTGTCTGTGCGCAGAAACAGCGACGGGTCAGCAGTAGACGGCGCGAACCCAAGAGCCGCAAGAGTAGTCCTCAGTGTATCGTGCCACTCACGTGGCGCCTGGCGGAGACCGTAGACTGGCCGGCGGAGACTCCACTGGGTACCAGGGGGAAACGACCCAGTAAAGCCAGGTGGGCGGCGCAGCCAGATCTCCTCGTGCAGGCTGCCCTGCAGGAACGCTGTGCTGAAGTCAAGAGAGTGAAGCTCGTAGTCACGCTGAGCAGCAACGTGCAGCAGAACCCGAAGAGTGGTCATCTTCGGGGTGGGGGAGAAGGTCTGGAAGAAGTCGACCCCCTGACGCTGACTGAAGCCTCTAGCAACGTAACGAGCCTTGAAGACAGGCGGAGAACCTGGCGGCCGCTTCACCCTGAAAATCCACATGCCATCGACGATGTTCGCCCCAGGAGGGGGAACCTCGTCGACGTAGGTGCCTGTGGACTTCCAGGATGCCATCTCTGCGTCCATGGCTGTCTGCCACTGAGAGGAGTAGGGACCCGAGATCGCCTCTGCGTAGGTGCGCGGAGTGGGGATGTCTACTGCATCCGGGTCTCCCTCAGGGGCAAGCAACCAGGCCACGAGATGAGGTACAGCAGCCGCAAGTGAGTCAAAGTCCTCCTGCCTGTCCTCAAGGACGTCCGTGCCAAGAGCACACTCACCCCCGACGGACGGAGGACAGACTGACGCAGACTCTGACTCAGCGACAAGGCTAGCAGCGTAGTCTAGACGACAGGCAGCAGCAAAGTCAACCAACTCAGCGACCAGAGCAGACGCAGCCGAGGACTCAAAGGTGGGGTCAGTGACAACAGTAGCAAGGAGACGCGTGACTGTAGGGTGCTCAGCGCGATACCGGTCAGACTCAGGGTCCGGAACGGCAGGCAAAGAGGACGCAGGAGGAGACGGTAGAGGGACACGCCGAGGAGCAGTAGAGGGACGCAGAGTCATGTAGTGAGTGCCTGGGACAGGCGGAGGACGCTCACGACGGACACGACTACCAGTGCGAGCAGGACGAACAGGCGACGCAGGACGAGACTCAGGCTCACGACGCTCTGTAAGACCTCCTGTGGGACCAGTATAAGGAGAGGGAGCAGGGAGAGGCGAGGCAGGCGGTAACTGTGACTGCGGCTGGACAGGCGGAGGACACTCTACGGAGGGAGGAGGACAAGGAGGAGGAGCCTGCCCAAGAACCTGCTGAAGGAGCGGTACGAAGTACGGTCGCGGCCGCGCAGCGTCTCTAGAAGCAGAAGGGACTCCAGCGGCCGGGTCCTCAGCACCAGTAGGAGCTCCAGCGTCCGGGTCCACAGCACCAGCAGCAGCTCCACCGGCCGGGTCCCCAGCTCCAGCAGCAGCTCCACCGTCCGGGTCCCCAGCTCCAGCAGCAGCTCCACCGTCCGACTCCTCAGTACCAGCAGCAGCTCCACCAGGTGGGTCCGCAGCACCAGCAGCAGCGCCACCCCCAGAGTCGGGAGCTCCAACTCCGCTAGCACCGCCAACGCCAGAGTCCCCAGCTCCAGCAGCTCCAGTCGCAGCGCTCCCAGAACAGCCAGTCCCGGCAGCTCCAGTACCCCCAGTACGAGCACCCCCAGGACGAGCAACTCCAGCACCCCCAACTCCAGCCGAGCCACTAGGACGGCGAAAGCGTCGGACGTACCAGTCACGAAGCTGCTGCGGTGTGAGAGACTGCTCAGCACCCCGAACCGGAGCACCCCCAGACACAGTAACCCGAGGCTCCGTAGGCTCAGTAGCAGCACCCCCAGGCTCAGTACCCGCAGGCTCAGTACCCGCAGGCTCAGCACCCCCAGGCTCAGCACCCCCAGGCGGCAAACTCTCAGGCACAGTACCCTCAGCCCCAGCACCCGCAGTCCCAGCACTCCCAGGCCTCGCACCCGCAGGCTCAGCACCCCCAGGCGCAGCACCCCCAGGCTCCGTACTCTCAGGCACCGTACCCTCAGCTCCAGCACCCTCAGTCCCAGCACCTGCAGCCCCAGCACCCCCAGGCCCAGCACCCCCAGGCTCAGCACTCCCAGCAGCACCACCCGCAGCAGCACCTGAGTCACCTGTGACCTCGACAGGCTCAGCGACGGGAGGAGGGTCTACCTGAGAGACACCTGAAGGAGCAGGACCCTGAGGGGGAAGGGGGTCTACCGGAGGGGGACCAGGAGCAAGGAAAAGCGGCGGGGGAGGGAGGGGGGCAGTGCGGTAGGGGAAGAGACGGTAAAAGGGTACCGACTCGTCAAAGGTGACATCCTGAGAGGCGAAGACCCGGCGCGAGGTGGGGTGGTAAAACTGCCAGCCAGGCGCGTCAGGGACAAAGCCAAGGAAGACACAGGGAAGTGTGCGGGAGGAGAGCTTGTCCGCAGACGTATCGCGGACAAGGGCACGAGCACCCCACACCCGGAAGCGCGACGCATCGCCAACCTCCCCCGTCCAACGCAGTGTGGGCGAGGTCTCCGGCAAGGAGACACGGGGCCAGAGGTTGAGCTGATGCACGGCGTACCGGACAGCAAACGGCCACAGAAAATGGG